AACTGGGAGCAATGGGAGATTGAGAAAAGACAAAAGACAAACATGGAAAAAAGCTGGGATCAGGTGGGCTGGGTGCTCTGGTGGATACACACAACAGCCTCTACCACCTCCAGTGAGTTTATTATATATAGCGCAAACAAGGAAGCAGAGCAACAGTTCTTGGGCTGGCATGACCTTGTAGTTATTGGGAACAGGGGGAACCTGTGATTGTTACTCTCTGCACATAAACATCTTACAAAAAGCAGCTGTGCTGCATTTTGCCCTTGCTCCCTTCTGCAGCTGGAGGCTGTACCAATCCCAGCCTGCAGACATGGTTGTGCTTATGTCAAGTTCTCATATTCTGCTCTCCACACTCAGCAGAACCTAGAGCCTACTTTTTGCTGCTAGGGTATGAACTGAACACCCTGTTCTGGAAGACCATGTCATGCATTTTATGAAATTAAACATGCATCTGAAACATGACCTGGAAGTCCCTCTCCTGAGTGTTTGCTCTGAGTGACACCTTGTGTTTCCATAACAAACCTGAACACAAAAAATAAGTGTTTATTAGGAAACAGAAATGACTCTAATAAACCTATCTAAAATCAGATGAGATAAACAAACTCTGAAACATTGTTAAGTTGAATGAATTGGCTAAAATTCAGCACCTGTCCTTCCCCAGGTCCTGAGCCATTTGAAAACCACTTTGGGCTGTGGATTTCCAATTCTCTTTTCTACATGAAGTCCATTTCTCTGGGCAGGTTCCAGACACTCTTTATGGACTTCTGTCCTCCCATCTCATCTCTCCTGGATAACACCTGAGCCAGCCTTCTGCAGCTGAAGGTGGACACCAAGTTGTCCTCTCTGCTTCCTCATCATTAAGAGTCGATAGCTCAGTGGACAGGTAGGCAGTAGATTCCCTCTTCTATGCCACCTCTCCTACAGGACTTGGAACTGTGCCTTAGCTCATGTTAGGCTGGTGATTATCAAAGCCTGAAGATAATTAGTGCTGGCCAGGATGTGGGTGAGGCAGGACTTCTCTTGGTGTGGATGAGCACTGCCATGTTTGCAGCATTATTCACAGTAACCAGAGTCTGAAATCAATCTAAGTGTCCAACAAGAGTTGAATAGTGAAGAAAAATGTACACAGTGGAATATTATTCAGCTGTAGAAAGGAGGATACCCTGTCACTTGTGACTCCATGGATGGACCAGAGTACCTTAGGTTGTTAAGGGAAATGACCCAGGAACAGAAAGACAAGTAAACGTGGTGTCACTCTTATGGGGGTTGTTAAAAGAAGTTAACCAAATAGAGGTAGAGGTAGAATATCTATTACCAGAGAAAGTGGAAGGAAGGAGTGAGGACAGGATATGGAGAGACTGATGAATAGGTATAAAGCAGCAGGTAGCTAAGAGTCCAGCCTGGGCAACATAGTGAAGCCCTTTTTTACTACTACTACTACTACTACTACTACTACTACTAAAAACAGGTTGTTTTCTTGTTTGTTCTAAAAGAAATACACAATCTGTTGAAGTCTTAGGTCACTATTCTCCCATATTCCGTTAACTTGGGAAATGATACCTAAGAGTATTCTGGAGAGTTGGATACCAGAGAGTATGGACACAGGAACATCACAGGCACACAGTACAGAGTGAATAACCCACTAGTGGTAACTAAAAGTCAGGAGATGCTCATGAAAATATTTAAGCATCACTATTTGCAAAATGACAAGACATGTAGAATATTGCTGTTTCCTTATAATTCTTATATAAAATTCAAGTCAATCAGAGTTTAATATACCTGTAAAGAAATGAAGCTGAGGGCTGTGGACTTGGCTGAGGAGTAGAGCACCTGCTTAGCAAGCGTGAGGCTCTGAATTCAAACCACAGTACTGTAAAAAAAAAAAAAAGAAAAAAAGAAAAGAAGGCCAAGATATCACTATTGTGTACACATTAGAAGATAGAAAACCCATCAAATTACACCTTACATTGCAGACTTTATATGCACTGGTGTCATACCCATCAGTATCTTTTATATAGAAATGCACTCCTAGTGCAGAAATAAATTCCTTATGTATTTACTTGCATTATGTTGATATTAGTTACTCTGTTGCATAGAATGTAGTGCTGCCTGAGAAACGCAATGGTTGAAACAAAAAGCTGCTAAACAAATTTTTATATTGATCAGTAATGATCTTTTTGTCCCTTTGAATTAAGTCAACCACAGAGCTAAGAGTCAAGGTGTTTTCATTTTATTCTTTATCCTCTATTTATTCAATGAGTAACTTAACACATTTTTATCTTGTTTCTGAGTCTGAAGTAATTTCTGTGAAATGGAGAAAGAATGTTTTATTTTGACTCCCCAGAGAGTTGTGAGGATTAATGTGGCAATAGGCAGTGCTAGAAATATTGTTTGCAAAATAGTTTCTGCCTGGTAGTGAGGGGGTAGCGGGGAGAGGGTGGAGGGTGGAGGACTAAGGGAGGGGGTTGGGGGGAAGAAGGGAGAAATGACCCAAACATTATATGCACGTATGAATAAAAGAAAAAACAAGACATATTAAAAAAATAGAAATGTTGTTTGCTATGAGAAACATAAGCAAACATGACCTTATTCTGAATTATTTTCACCAGCTACGGCCTTAATAACTCCAGGCCGCACTGTCTTGTCTCTTGTGCAACATGCGTACCTGGGTGGTGGTTCTTTCACAAAGTGGCTCTATTTTGGCTGTTTGGAAAGATACTTCTGCTTACTGTCAAAAATAATTCTGTAATTAGCTGATGTGGCAGCACATATCTGTAATCCCAGTGTCTGGGAGGCTAAGCTATGAGTTTGAGGCCTGCCTGGGCTACAGAGTGAATTCAAAGTCAGCTTTGGGCTACATAGCAGGATCCTGCCTAAAAAAATAAAATTGCTATTGCCTCAAATAAAAGGGCATTTATTTTTATGTAGTTTTTCTATGTAGCGCAGGCTGTCCTCAAACTTGTGGTCCTCCTGCAAAGAACATTTATTTTCTACAAATCCTGTAATTCTCAAATTTGGCTCATTATTCCACTAACCAGGAGAAATGAATATATTTTATACTATTCAGAGAGTTATTTTTGGGAGACAACTAAGTATTAGAGTTGTCTGTCGGAAGTTAACATACACTGTTTAAGAAATCCTCCCAGTACCTTCACGGCCATGTCCCAGTCTAACTGAAATGCCCTGTGTAGCTTCAACATCCTTCTCAACACATTTTCAGGCAAAAATGCTATTAAAAGTAGAAATAGGTTTTTGGTCCAGAGATTTGTTGATCACATCCTCACTGATGGCCTAGGAAATCCCAGGTGACTTTCAGTGTGAGTTCCTCTTGATGAAGGCAGTGAATGGCTGATTCCCAACATGCTCTGCTCTTTTGTAAACACGTATATGAGACATGTGGCCCTCTTTACATTCCTTGACGTACCAGTCCACTAGCACCTGCCACTCTGCTGCAGTTTGTGTCACCACAACTAAAGCCAAGGGGCTGGAGTATATACCATGCTTTATTCAAGTTGGTATTTTTTGCTAAGCTCTTGGGTTAATATATTGGGTGGTTCTTAAAAGTTTAATAACGAATGTTGGGTGAATTCTCTATATAGCAAATAAAATAATTTTACCAAAACATATATCATGCCATTTCCCCTCTTACATTTCTCTAGTGGTTTCCCACTGTGCTGAAAGAGATTCTAAACTCCCTGAGAGAATGCAGAAGGATGTTTTTTACTTCTCCAATATCACCTCCTTGCTACTCTGCCTTTCATTCTAAGCTCCACTGGTTTGTCACTTCTTAGAACATGCCACGTCTTTCTCAATACTTGCCATTTCTCTGCCTTGAATGTATATCACCTCTCTTTTCTAATGGCTAGTTCCTTCTCCTCTTGCAAGTCTCAGTTGACCACTCAGTGTAAAGACAGTCTCTTCCCTACTCTCAATAGCACTTACTCTGTGCTTCTACACCATTTGCTGCATCTATAATTAAAATTTATTTATATTTTTCTTTTCTATTTTCACTAGACTTTAAACTCCATAAAGGAGAGATTTATGTATGTTTTATTTGTGACTATAAACCTGTATCTAACACAGATTAGGTTCTCAGTAAACAGCTGCCAAATGAATGACCAGTTAAGAGTCCCCATTTCATTGCTCTGATGTAGATTTTGACAGATGCTTGACAGTATCAATCACTTTAATAGTTCAAAGTCTTTCTCAGTCATCAAAGTCATATGCAAATGCACTTTGTCTGATTCACCAGCGTTTGTTAAGCTCTTTAGGCACGCATCTGAGTGAATGATGTAGACAAGGGCTGCCCAGAAGTGAGAAGGTTTGTTTGGACCTTGGTTATCACCCTAGTGGAAAAGCAGGGAGAGGCGGGATGCTATAACGAAAACAGTTTCAGTTTGTGTTGGTCGAATCCTGTTTTGTGACCTTTCTTTGGTGGTGCTGGGAATTGATCCCAGGGTCTCCCATACGCTAAGCACATGTTCTACCACAGAGCTATACTTCCAGCCTCCTCCCACAACGGCTGTCTTTTATCATTTCTTAGATGGGAGACTTTGAGCATCCTATTTGTTCTTTGAGCTTTAGTTTCCTCCTGTGTAAATAAACATAATACTTATTTCTTAAGGTTGTTGTGAGTAAATGCACAGTGCCAAAAATTTCCAGAGCATGGAAGATATTACTAATCATAGCTACTGCTATGCTTGCTGGATATTGGGCCAGTAGTGCTGGGTGTGGTGTTGCATGCCTGTAATCCCAGCACACAGAAAGTGGAAGCAGAAGGATCTGAAGGTAGAGGCCGGTATGAGCTACACAGTAAATTCAAGGCTAGTCTGAGCTGCATAGTGAGAACCTGTCTCAAATAAATCAAGGGGTTGGGATGTAGCTTAGTGGTAGGGTGTTTGTCTATTATGCCCAAGGACCTAGATTCAAACCCCAGCATTGCCGAAAAAAAGATATTGAATCATAGGATAGTTTTATAAGTTATAGTCTGAAAAATATAGTATATAACTTATTTGCCAGGCATTTCTTTGATTTGGAGCACCAACCATCCTAAGGGGTTTGACATTTTCATTTTTCTCCTTTCCTCTCCTCCTTCCCCACTAACTTGTTCAAAGCATTCTTCATGTCCTCATTCCTAAGGGTGTAAATGATGGGATTCAACAGAGGGGTGACAGCAGTGAAAAACACAGACACCACCTTGTCCTCTGGGAGGCTGGTGGATGGACGGGAATAGATGAAGATGCAATGTCCCAAGAAGAGTGTGACCACGGTGAGGTGGGCTGCACAGGTGGACAGGGCTTTCCGCCTGCCCTCCAAGATCTGCTGTCTCAGATTCACCAGGATCACTGCATAGGACACAACAAGGACCACAAAGCAGACCACAGAGATCAGCCCACTGTTGGAGACAATGAGGATCTCGATGGTGTAGGTGTCAGTGCAGCCCAGCTTGATCACCTGAGGCACATCACAGAAGAAGTTGTCAATCTCATCAGGACCACAGTAGGGCAGTTTGATGGTGAGTGAGGTCAGGGATATGGAGTGGATGGTACCCCCTACCCAGAGGGCCAGAGCCAGCAGCACACATACCTTCCAGTTCATCACTGTCATGTACTGCAGAGGTCTACAAATGGCCATGTACCGATCATAGGCCATGACAGTGAGGAGGAAGATCTCTGTGCAGGCAAAGAGGTGTAGGAAGAACATTTGGGTCACACAGGCATTGAAGGAGATGAGCTTCTCCTCTGACCAGGTGTCTCTCAGCATCTTGGGGATAGTGACAGTGGAGTGGCAGACATCAATGAAGGACAGATGGCTGAGGAAGAAATACATGGGGGTATGAAGTCGGCGGTCATAGACTATAGTTATGACAATAAGGGTGTTGCTGATCAGTGTCAGGACATAGAAAATAAAGAACATGGAAGATATAGCAACTTGCACCTTCAGATTTAAAGATAAACCCCTAAGCCGAAAGTAGGTTACTGAAGAAGTATGATTGAGTAGGACAGCCTTCTCCATTCTCCTTGTTGGACACACCTGCCAAGAATTTGAAACAAACAAACAAACAAATATAACTCTTAATATCTGCATTAGTTATTTGGTCATTTAATTTCTTGTGTGTTTAAGGCTGTTATCGCCATCTAGAATTATGATCAAATATACTGCTGTGTTTCTCCTCCCTCCTTTCCTCCCTTTCTTTCTTTTTTCTTTTCTGTTGCTAGGGGTTTGATGATAGTTTGCATGTGCCAAGCACTTGTTCTACCACTGGCCTATCCCTCTAGCCTTGTATTTTATGTATCTATGTATCTATCTGTCTATCTATCTGTCTGTCTGTCTATCTTCTTATCTATCATCTATCTATCCATCTATCCATCCATCTATCATCTATCTGTCTATCTATCTATCATCTATCTATCTGTCATTTATCTATTTTTGTGGTACTGGGATTTGAACTCAGGGATTTGTGTTTGAGCTATGCCTCCAGCCCTTTTTGCTCTGGCTGTTTTGGAGATAGGGTCTCGCTTTTTGCCCAGGTTGGCCTGCAATCCAGATCCTCATGATCTCAGTCTGCTAAGTAGTAAGGATTACGGGTTTTAGCCATCAGCGCCCAACTTTGTATTTACTTTTAAAAAAGAAATCATGCTGGATGTCTTGTAGGTGTCAAACACACACTTTTGAAAGTAATACAACAGAGAATCTTGACTCACTAAGAGATACAAAACCACCTTGAAGAGAGAGAGGAGAGACCAAAAAACCTACTTCTCCCTTACTGGAGCAAGTTATTGGTGCTCAGATTTAGGTTATAGATTTTTATAGAAGACATTATGGTTCTCTTTATCCTAAGTAAGTAATTTGTCCCAAGTCCCAAAAATATGGTCCTTGAACATAATTTTCTGTATTGTCCTGTTGACTACACTTTTCATTAACCCAAACTACTTACTGCCCTGTTGGTTTTGCCATGGTGCCTGAGACAGTAATTCCCATGACCTCACTTTCAGAGGGCAGCAGTTTTTTTTTTTTTTTTTTGTGTAGTGTTGGGGTTTGAACTCAGTGCCTACATCTGGAGCCACTCCACCAGCCCTTTTTTTTGATTTTTTTTTTCAATATAGGGTCTCATGAACTATTTGCCCAGGCTGGCTTCGAACCTCAATCCTCCTGATCTCTACATCCTGAGTAGCTGTGATTATAGGCATGAGTCACAAGTGCCTGGCCAGGAAGCAGCTTTTGACCAAACTGCTGTGGCTATGAAAGTGGCTGTAATGCTTTTTGAACAATTTTTTAGAGAAGGTTGAATAAAAGCCTGGAAGCCTTAGAAGATCTGGAGAGGAATTAAGGAGGCTTGCATTTCCTCCAGCCCTCAGCTGAAGGCAGACTTGTTCATTCTTCACCTTGGAGGTCAAGTCCAGGTTTCATATAATCACTAGATTATATGAAGTCTTGACTAACTAGATTTTCTCCAGCTATTTGCAAATTCTCATTCTATTGTTTGGATCACTGGTCTTAGTGACCTCTTTCTTCTCCTCTAAGGTGTCCTGACAAGCTTTGGGGTATGATCTGGTGGGAGCCTCTCTTCTTATGCTCCTTTCTTTCTGTATAGGCTTCCATGGTAGCCCAGACAAAGGAAGCTGTCACTGTTCCTTGGGCCCCATCCTCCTCTTGCCTACCACGGGTCAATAGTGATGCTTTTATCATTCCTCAGGAGTAGATTCTCTGTCAGATGACCATCTTCACACTGCTTATGACAAGGAGGCTAGAGAAAGCTTTTCTTCTGCTCTTGGCTCTCTCTTCTCCCATATTCCCTACACCTCATTATGCCCAGCTTCTGCAATTAATGGCCCTTTTTGCTGTCTATATCAAAGAAAGACTAACAGTAGTGTCAACTTGAGGAACTAGGAAAGCAGATCTGTGGTAAAGAAGATAATTTTGGGCAGGAAATGTCTCTCAATCAATATTTAAAAATCAAATGGGGTTAGTGCTTTATTATTTAGCACCAATCAAGAAAACTCTGTTCAAGGCACAGAGTTTTAGGACCTGGGACCAATTTCTTATTTAGGGTAAGGAGAACCTTAATATCATCTATAAAAATCTGTAACCTAAATATCTTGCTCCAGTAAGGGAGAAATAGCTTTTGCATCTCTTCCTGTCCAGGTTTTCTATAGCAACACTTTAATGTAGTTATAAATTAATTTTACTCTTTAGAAAAACTTTCAGAGCATTCACTAAAGTTTTTGCTACAAAAACTATTTAAGTGTTTAATGATTTATAACTGCTTTCATGTTTGCAAAGTTGAAAGTTAAAGAATTAAGAATGGAGATGGGGGTTATTTTAAAATAAGAAGCTACAAATTGATTTCATTCTAGAAAAGGCAAAACTATAGGGACTATAGCAGACAGGACTGACCTCAGGAGGGAGAGAGGGTATTGACTGCAAAGAGGAAGGAGGAACTTTGTGACTAATAAAAATGAATTTTTAATCATGGTAGGGTGCACTTTCAACTATATATAGTTCAACTGTATGCTGTGCTGGTATGAATTTACATCATACCCAAAGTCATACTGTATAAGAATCAGTATACAAATGTGTAATTATACATTTGTCAAAACATCAAATTGCACAAGAAGGGTGAGTTTGTATGTATATTGTGATCAATAAACCTAATTAAAAAAAAAGAAAAAAAATTCAGTATGGGAAATTTCAACTGCACAGACAGGAAAGTGTGTGCAGATTGAGAACTAGTTCTGAAATGGAGAATTCTGTTTCCTCCTCATACAATACGGATATATGTTTTTAACTAAATCTTTTCTACCATCAGCATTTTTTCTACTCTTTTTTGTGGTACCACAGGGGGGAAAATGCTTTGAATAAGATGGAGTTGTATCCAACTGCAGCAGAAATTTGGTGTTAGTTTAGGTCAACAATATGGTATAAAAACTGTGTACATTTCAGGAAATAGGAGGGGGAATGTTTAAGAGTAAACCCAGAAAACCCCCAAAATGTCTATAAAACTCACCTTGAATGATTTCTCTCAGTACCTCCAAAGGTAACTGGATTGTCAGTCTTGTGGCTTCAACAATCAAGACTATTATCTTCTAGTAGAGAGAAGAATTTATATGAAGTTGGATAAGTCAAACAATCTCATTTACCTCGATTTTTCCATAAGGAAGGTGGGAATTCCAGAAGTTTCTTGGTGTCTTGTTCTTGATTTGTTGATGTCATGGGAGATGAATTTGATGATATTTCCTAGTGAGCAATGCTATTTCAGGATTTCTTTAAAAATCACACCTTTGTACCTATATTATTGTCATGATTTTCCAATGTGTTGAAGCATGTAGCTCTTAAGTAAGATTTCTAAGATTGGTTTCCTGTTACTGAAAAATGTGGTTTGGGAATGATATTTTTCTTTTTTTTACACTCTTACAGCCTATGGTGATGAGTAGAAGGGATTAAAGCCACAGTCAATCTCTTTTGCAGGCCTAGCTAGCTCACAGGACACTAAAAGAAAACATGAACTAATTGTTCAGAAAATTGTTGCCATCATGTCATACTCCTTAGTGCAAGTTTTGTGTTGTCAGTTTTAGATGGAATCATTCATGTTCAAGATCTGAGGGGAAATCCTAGAGAACAAAAGCAGCTGGAGGGGCAGCTGTGTGTTGGTGTGTTCCACCTGAACTATATAGGCTCTATGTCCATGGAAACGCCTAAGCAATGACATCAGTTCACTCTAGCTACCAGTTAGAAAAGTTAATTCTGCAGGGACTGATATAATGGACTTCGCAATTGTCACTAAGAGAATTTAATGGAAATGCAAGCTTTAGGGCATAGTTGTACATATAATTAAATGAAATTACATATAAATTTAATGACTGCCTACTAAGTGCTAATTATTAGGAGATGGGCATTCATGTCTTCTTATTTAATCCATATAAAACACAGAGATAGGAGAAGGGTAATGGAATTTGGTCAGCTCTGATGAAGGGCTTTGACTCTAGAGACAGATTGAGTTCATATTCTAAAACCCGAGATGTGCAAATTTGGGAATTTACTTAACCTTTCTGGTCCTTAATCTTTTCATCCCTAAAACACAAATAACAATGCTAAATTTTTTTAGAACTCTTTACCTTTACAAAGTATGTGGCATTTAGTGTGTTGCATATATTGATATAATTATATAATGAACTGGTGAAGCAAAATTAAAGCAAAACAACAGCATAAAATAAACTGCCTTCATCACCAGCCAACATTTTTGGCTTCTGTAATCTGTTATTTTAGACAATAGCAAAAATTTGGAATATCTTGTCCTAGTTCTCCTTTTTGCTTTCTTTGTTTATATATAACAGCTTGGTGACTTAAGTTGGTGGAAGAAGAATGTAAATGGGAGAGGTGAAGATTATGCTTTAATTTTTTTAAAATTAAAGTTTATTTTTAGCTGAAACATAAAAACCTAAATATTGCACATATAATAGGTTACCATGTAATATTTTGACATATGTACACATGTGTAATGTTTAAATCAGGGTTAACATATCTATTTATTATCTATTTAACATTTATTATTCTCAATGACTAAAAGATTCAGAATTCTTTCTTCTAGCATTTAAAAAAGATATAGTGTATTATTGTTATCTTTGGTCCTCTACTGTGCAAGAGCCCACTAGACTTTCATGCTTCTATTTCACTGTAACTTGAGACCTATGGATTAATCTCTTTCCATTCATTTCCTCTTGTTTTCTCCAGCTTGTGGTAACCTTCATTCTAATCACAACTTCTGCAAGATCAACTTTTAAAAAATATTCTACATATGGATGAGATCATACAGTTCTTTACTTTCCATGCCTGACCTATTTCGCATAACATAATGATCTCTGTTTCCTTCCATGTTGTCACAGATGACAAGATTTCATTTGTTTTAAATGTCTGAACAGTACTCCATTGTACACATGTACCACATTTAAAAATTAATTTGTCCATTGATGGACACACGGTTATTCTCATTTCTTGGCTGTGGTAAATAATGCTCAAGAAACATGGCAGTGTAGATGTCTCTTTGGTATGATGATTTCATTTTCTTTGGATATGTGTCTAGTAGTGGGATGACTGGATCAT